GGAAACAAATTGCTTCCCTAGGCTTGGATGAGATTGTTGTGGCCCACCAGCAGCCAGAGAAGCTGGTGGCAGACTCAGATAGTGGGGAGGAAGATGGGCCAGTCCTGGAGTCTGGGGGAGGCTCGGAGGAGGGCTCTGTGTCGGAGGCAGAGAGTGGGCCAGGGACGTATGCCAGTTATCGGCTGCCTTCAGAGTCAGATATCAGTGGGGCAGAAGAACAGCTGGAGCCTGTTCCCAGTGTGTGCATGCGCAGAGCTGCCAGACAAAGGGAACAGCTAAGAAATCTGGGTCGACTTGGGAATAAAGCCACAGGGGGAAGATGCTTGGCTCCTCCAAGAGGAAATAAAAGAGGAGCGAAAGGGGAGGGGGCTTTTGCAGGAAACAATTTGTTTGTTCGGCCGTTAGATTCGTTCCAGGAGTGTGAAGATCTGTCCATGAATCTCAGAGACTCTGTGCCCAGCCTTTCCTTATACAGCACCTCATTTGGAAAATATTTACATGGCAGCTTTCCAAGCTAGATAAGGTCTGTGGTCATAAATCCACCTTTGAAAGACTGTTTGCCAGGCCTTTGCTGAAGGTGAATGAGAGGAATTCGCATTCATTTAATCAAAGGGGTTTTGTCGGAACTAAGAATCTGCTTCGTGCTTTTCAGGGAAGCTAAGGTCAGAACAAAATTCAAAAAAAGCAGAAAAATCAGGGTTCAGAAATTTTGCCCTTTAAATCCACCCACCGCCTGGAACTCACAATTTTTAATCCCTTGACCTTGTGGCCAGCATCAACCGGTTGCAATTGTTCCACGTCACATCAGATTAAGATGTGATTTAAGGTTAAGGATCCCTCACGATCCAACGTTTAGAGTCCATCCAGGTGAAGAAACACAGGTGAGTCTTTTGCACAGCAGAGGGGGGGGGGAAAGCATAAGGGATTATTTTTCCCCAACTTGATCGCTGTGCAGGATCTGGAGTCTGCCTACATGCAAACTGCCTATCCGTGTTCGAAGAGTCACTGATTTCAAAATTTGGACTCTCCTTTGAAGAAAAAACGCCGTTCCAGCTTACCATCAAAGATAGTAGTTTTCCAAAATTAAAGCCAATTCAACGTGCGCGCCAAAAATCCCTCTAGGCCTCCATTGTTTGGAAAACAGCATTTAAAAACAAACTTCCCCCCCCAAAATGTCCTTCTCTATTTTTTCACTTTCCTCTGGCCCAAGGATTCAGTTGAGAAATGGTTTTGGAGTCTTTTTCCGCAATTTGCAAGGCTGTTGAAGCCGCCAAAATAGGCAAAATGTACACGTTTTGGCTCTTTTGCTTCCCCGCTGCAAAATGGTTGACAAGGATGTCCAGCACAGCCAGAGTTTTGCTCCATGTCTCTCGCCTGGATTTGAGGTGTGCGAAATGCGCAGAACTGACAGTGTTGGCAGCATGTTAACGACGATTCTACGCAAGGTGTTAACGTCAGGCGAGCCTCATTTGTAGATGTTATTGTGGCGTCTTCTACTAGCACATCGGTGGTCTTTCCCCCCACTTCTTGAGTGTCTTTTCCCGACAGGCAAACATGCACAAGCACACTTGAGGAGCACACAAGCACACCCACAAACACGCCCACATACAGAGAGAGGGACAGCCGCACGTTTGGGGGGGGGGGAAAGCCTGCACGATGGCACGCCTGTCGACAGAGGACTCCGGAAATCCGTCACCTGAAAAGTATCTCGGAGTTCAAAGCCCGATACAATCGTCCAAAGGAGAAGCGCTGAATCCGTGCTTCCCGCAGAACTCCGAGGGCAGCGAGGCTTTTTAAAATGTTCCACATCCCCATGGGTCTCCGATCCTGGGTCAAGGCAGCGGGCCACGCTCTTTCAAAGAGCTGTGATCTGCGTCAGCTCTGACGTGGGCGTGGTAGGGCTCTGCTGGCTGACGGGGACCATGGGGAGCTCCACGCCTAGTCATGCCGGGTTGTTAGTCCCGTCGGAGTTCTTGCAGGCGTAGGCCACGTCCTTGGCGATGCTGCACATGCGGTTGGACATCTGAAGCTCCTTCCTGAAGGCCGAGGGGAAGCAGAACTTCTTGAAGCACGTCTTGAAGTTCTCGTCCAGGAAGGCGTAGAGGACGGGGTTCAGGCAGCTGTTGGCGTAGCCCAAGGCGGTGCAGAAGTACAAGATGGATAAGCTGAGTTCGTTGTCGGCCTTGGCTCCCAGGCTCCGGACCAGGACGAAGATGTGGACGGGGGTCCAGCAGATGATGAAGACGGCCACCACGACGAAAACCAAGCGAGCGATACGCCGGAGGTTCCTGTCCTTCTCCTTCGATCCCGAGAGGACCCGGACGTTTTTCAGGCGCCGGATCATGAGGCTGTAGCAGATGGTGATGACCATCACTGGGATCATGAAGGAGAAAAGGAAAATGCAGATTCCGAAAATGGGCTCCCAGTAGTCCTCGGGCTCAGGAAGCCGAATGAGACAGTCAATTTCTGCAAGGAGAAGGAAACACAAATGAATGAGGAGGTTGGAAGCCATTCGGACTATTTGTTCCCCCCCCCCCCCCGTGGCATATCAACCTTTCTCATATAGGTACGGCAGAATAAAGAGAGATGGAGTGGAGTGGAAGGGAAGGGAAGAGAAAAATGGAATGGAATGGAATGGAATAGAATAGAGAAGTAGAGAGCGGAGTAGAATAGAATAGAATAAAATAGAATAGAATAGAATAGAATAGAATAGAATAGAATAGAGAAGTAGAGAGTGGAGAAGTAGAGAGCGGAGTAGAATAGAATAGAATAGAATAGAATAGAATAGAATAGAATAGAGAAGTAGAGAGTGGAGAAGTAGAGAGCGGAGTAGAATAGAATAGAATAGAATAGAATAGAATAGAATAGAATAGAA